CTGGCTCATATTTAGGTGATTGTCCACTAGGACTCCGAGGTCCCTCTCACAGTTACTACTATTGAGCAAGGTACCCCCTATACTATACCTGTGCATTTGGTTTTTCTTGCCTAAATGTAGAACCTTGCTTTTTTCACCATTGAATTTCATTTTGTTAGATAGCGCCCAGTGTTCAAGTCTGTCCAGATCCTTCTGTATCCTAAGCCTGTCTTCTGGAATGTTGCCTATTCCTGCCAGCTTGGTGTCGTCTACAAATTTGATGAGTTCCCCCCATCTATCCCCTCGTCCAAATCGTTGATATAGATATTGAAGAGCACTGGGCCCAGAACAGAGCCCTGGGACACCCCCACTACACACTTCCCTCCATGTAGATGCGGTTCCATTGAGGACCACACGCTGAGTACAGCCGGTCAGCCAGCTACGGATCCATCTGGTGGTGGTGCTTTCTACTCCACATTTTTCTATCTTGTCAAGTAGTAGGTTGTGATCTACTTTATCAAATGCCTTACTGAAGTCCAAGTAAATTATGTCCACAGCATTCCTCTGATACTTCTTAGAAGTATTTTCCAGGTTACCCCCCGTGTGTTCAAAATGCAATATTTCAACAAGCCATAAACATGAATCTAATCTGTGGATAAATATGTTTAACTACTTGTTGAAACTACATCACAACCCTAGCAGACTGACCCATCTAATATTGGCATACAATTACAAACATTTCTTGGAAAGAGTGATCCAAAAGAAACTTAGCCTACAAATGGTTGTTAATAATTCTTGTTCTTAAGGGATAGTTTTCTGATCATTTTACTGACCATATTTTTATTGATCAATGACCAAAATAAAATTCTGTCCATTAGCAGATGTTTATTTTAGAATTTGTGCATTTCCTAATTTAATTGGACTTTTTAAATTACCTTTCTATTGCTACATTAAAAAAACCACCTTTTCTAGTCTATTTGTTATTCCTATTTTCAGTATTTTTCTAAGAAGGACTTTGCTTAATTAGAAACTTTTACTGGTACCTAGCCTATAGCGTTAAATACATGGAAGTTTTCATTGCTGGAATAAACAGCAGCTATTTATCTTTAATCCAGAGCTTCACATAATGTTGATCACTATACATTCAATGAAGGACAGGAGTTTACTTACCTTTCTTCTCCACTCCTTTGGAATTCCTGTTGACAGCCTAGCCACTGCTTTGAGAGCATCATGCCACTAAAAGCAACCATCCCAACAGTGTTAAATTATTCCAATTCAACATAAAATGCAGGTGATCCTTGACTTACAACCATTCATTTAGTGACCATCTGAAGTTACAACACTGGAAAAAATGATTTGCAATCGATACTCACACTTAAACCATCTCAGCATCCTTACTGTTATGTGATCAAAATTCGGGCACTTGGCAATTGCATGTAGTTATGACAGTTGCAGTGTCCTGGGATCATATGATAACCATTTGCGACTTTCCCAGTCGGCTTCCAACAAGTAAATTCAATGGAAAAAGCCAGATTTGCTTAAAAACCAGGGCAAAAGTTATTGTAAAATTGGGTCTGACTCACTTAATAACTGCCTTGCTTAACAGTGGAAATTCTGGTCTCAATTGTGATTATAAGTTGAGGACAACATGTATTTCAACATTATGGAAGCAATATGTACCATTAAACCAGAGGTCACCAACCTTTTCATGCTGGTGGCCCGGAGGGAAAGGGAGCAGCTGGGAAATTTGCACACGCGCACGAACAGGGCCATGCATAAATGGGGATATGCATGGATGGGGCCTTGTGCACCCTCAGGGTGCTAGCATTCCTGTTTGTGCATGCACACATGCGCTAGCTACCACTGTCGCTAGCCCCACATGCATGTGAGAATGGGCCATGCAACCCGCATGGCGCTAGCGGCCGTTTGCATATACACGCAGCTGCTAGCTGCCGCTTCTGCTAGCGCCTCAAGCATGCATGAACAGGTCTGCGGGTTCTAGCACAAGTAGGGGTGAGTGCATGCACTAGCCAGCCTGTCCCAGAGCCCGGTGGCCAATAGGCCACGGCCCGGCACTGGGCTGCATATCATAGGTTGGGGCCCCTGCATTAAACTATTTGGCCACAAAATATTTAAATATAATTGCAAAACAGAGAAGAAAAAGATGCTATGTATTTATTTATACAAGAACTGCAAAAATATACAATTGATTTTAATATTTTGAGCTTCTTTCTGTTGAAAAAATAATAATTCCCACTAAGAAAAAATCAAAACAAAATGGAACAAATGCAATTACAGTTCAGCTTTTTCAAATAATATAATACATCCCAGCTTTAATTAATTAATGCTGCTTTTAAATTATTATTGGAAAAATATTTAAACTTATTATTTCATAATTATCTTTACCTAAAGTAGTAAGGTTTTTTTGTAAGACAATTTATTGCAATGAATAAAAATCAGTTACCTGTTGAAAACCATTCCGACCTAATGATGGCTCAAGTGTAAACTTCAACTTTGTGTCCACTCCTATGTAACACAAATAGAAAACAATTATTAGTATCTTCGTTTATGGATTGAAACTGCATCACATTAGATAGCATAATATAAAGTTGATATGCCAAATTAATGCAGGGATAACATAACATAATATCAATATTGCTATATAAAAATAATGCAACTTTTTACAGTGAATTATATTATATAATAATTATAATTATAATATAATGACTTTAACCAAATAATATTCTGAATTAAAAACAAATATGGAGAAAAAAATTAAAATATGGGATATGATAAATCTCTTTCTGCATAAACACAATATTTTACACATGAAATAACATAATGTCACATAGTGACATTCCAATGATGAAGCCTGAAGGCAGATTTGGTGGAGAAATTTGTCTAAGGTAAATCTCCCCTTGCTGGACTTCCCAGACCTGTCATCTGGTCTGATGGGAGAGTGATGATTAGACCCTTACCTCTTTTCACAGACCACTGGCAGCAGCCTGTGCACTGACTATACATAGTTCTGATAAGAAGAGATGCTGTTTCCGAGAATTAACACATCTGGGTCACATTCCCACTCTGACCACATCACTGAAGCAAGTCTCTGGCTCATATATCTTCATGAATGTGGCTCAAACAAGTGCTAGTTCTGAGGACATAGGCACTCATAGCATACAAACACACACAAGCACATATAGCACTGATGTGATCACAACAGACACATATAGCTCAGACAAATGAAAAGTGCTATTCTTTTCCACTTGTCATACCACTGCTTTCCTAGAAGCTAAACTGCTCTTTATGTTAACAATTCCTATGAGGAAAAAAAAAAGCAAGTGGATCATTGGTGGTAATGTTAAAAATGTCTGCTTTTACATTTGTATGAAACATTGTGCTTAACTTCGCACAAAACTGTTGTAAATGCAAAAGGTAGTAATACATACAGGTTTGATTGATTTGCTCGATTAATGTGTATATGAACCCTGATCTAATTCCTGTTAATGTTGAGATTAAAGAGATATGAAATTCATATATACAGTATGTTGTGTTTCATCTTCAAAAACACTCCGAAGCCACCACTATCAAGATAAAAGAGGATTCACAGAGCACAAAACAGATGGCTACACTCAGCAAATCATCACTTGCCATCTTTTTTTCCTACATTTTGTTCATTGGTTTACTTGGATATTTGTAGTTTTTGATTTTGAGTGTTTGAAAAGCAAAGAGTAAATCAAATTGTTTTTACTTTGATGTCATTGTTAGTTCATCCTCTTGTACTCTGCGTGTTGTGTTCTCTAGTAGCCTTCTATTTATGGAGACTGCAAAGTATATTTCAAATGCAACACAATACCCACCAATACTGATTGGTCTACTAGCTTAGGTTTGTGTGCATTGTTTTGGGATGCTTCTGGTGTTGTCTATGCAGTGAGCATGTCATCTTCAATGACACTCTGATAGTTTCACAATCAGTATAAAAAAGATCATCCACAGTGCACTCATCATCATCATCTTTTTTTAAAAAACTCCACATTGCTTGCTTAGACTGGTTTTTTTAGAGTTGCTGACTTCCATGTTGTTCATTTATCACTGCAGCCTTGCATCCTGTTGTGGTCTTTTTGAGAAAATTCAGTGTTTGTTTTAAAATACTACCTGGCCTGTTAACTTTGGGGAAGAGGGTTGCACTGTTTCTGTGCTTTCCTGCACTGGACATAGCAGCCCAAAACTGACTGACAGAACTTCTAAAATGTAATATTTTGTTCAATTTTTTTGTATATGTCCCTGAAGTATTTCAAAATTATATCCATATTTTGAAATATTAATTTTATATGCCAGTAATCAACTACATAAATTAATACAAATACCTGCAAAGGTAGAGACTTAATGGTCCATCAAGTCACCAGGAGTTAAGCTTGACTTGAAGAAGTCTGCCTTTATAGTAGTGCATTTGATATTGCACATTAACCAAGGAAGATTCCTCAGTTATAGAATGTCGCTGTCCAAGCAAATAGTGCTGAAAGATCATCTGATACTCCTTACAAAATTATTACAGCATATTTTTGTCAATGCAAGGCAACAAACATACCCAATACTTCTTCCTTTTTCCTCACAACAGCCACTCTGTGAGGAGGGTTAGGCTGAGTGTGACTGGTTTGATTACTACTCAAAGCAATTTTGAGATGTTTGTGTTCACAGTATCAGATTTTCCATTTAGTTATAATTCCCTCAAACTGAGTAGCATGCTAAAATTTCCCAGAAGTGTATGGTTAAATTAGATTGTTATTAATTTCTTAAAAGATAATTTGCATCATATCAAAGCAATTAATAAAATCTGTGGTTCTTACTATAATTTTACATCCTTAATGTCAATTTTTTTTCAAAAGATTTTAACAATTGCTACATGCAAAAAAATCTGATCAGGAATGTTGTAAATTATTTTGCTAAGAGATTCCAAATTAATGATATAATTGGTTACAAGTTTTGCCAATATAGAATTAAGTACTATTATAAGTTCTCTACTAGCAAATGAAAAGATACACAAACGAATACATACATCAATGGTGTCCTTTTAATTATCAACTTGATTTGCTATGTAATTCAACTAGATACAAGAAAACAAATTAACTCCAACTTGTCAATCAACTCAATAAAGTATAATAAAATAAAACTGAGCATGTAAATAGTCTCTCTAGAGTAGTACATGACAATGAGGTGATTACTGCAAATCAGTTTGCTTGAATTTGGTGCATGAGTTTTCATCTTGTTTTTCATGCTTTCTACTTTTCACAAATATTTTAAGTAAAAGATAATGGAACTGTTCTACTGTTGTTTTATTACATGGTTATTTTCCAATAGCTCTTTACCAAGAGTCCTTCATCTTGTACATCTAAGCTACTCTCCAAATGTTTTATTCTTATAAAAAACTATTCCCTAAAATATTGTATCCCTATAACTCTTTTCTATGTTTATACTGTCTACACAAATTTGCCTCTATTTGCATTGATGCTTTATTTTCTTTATGGTTTACACACATAAAACAAAATTTAAAAGTTTCTAACAAGCCAGGCTTAATAATGAAAAGAAAGTATCAACTGACTTCTGCAAGCTAAAGCTATTATAAAAACTTGGCAACGTTTTTTAGTGATTGCCCATGTTTGATCTGATAGAAGGAAGTCTGTAACCTCTTGGTCAGAAAGATAATTAACTTTTTTGACAAACAGATTATGACTACCAGAAGCCTGAGTGATGGTTTAACAGGGTGTGAGTTACTCACTCAGCTTCTGTGTCTGAACAGACACAAGTGCACTGGTATGGGATATTATGGAACACTGCTGTAGTATAACCATCTATTGTCATTATAATGAATAGGCCACTAATCCACATAAATGAAAAACCTCCTACAAGGGGTAAGTAAGTTGTTATAGCCAAGTATTTAGGTTCTCTCTGTGGTGTGGTGTGGTGTGCAACTGTACCATCATGTAAGTAAATATTAGCCCAATCTAAAGACCTGATCTTATGTCCAAGTCCTTACTGATGTTTGTCAAGTAGACAGAGAGATCTGTTGGGTTTTTTTTAAAAGCCTGCATGAATAGTCTTGCCTAGAACCTTCAATTTTATTCATTTATTTTTAAATCTTCATGAAAGATTTTCATTATCCAGATTGTTTAAACAGCTGCCAATTAAAGAGAGAAAGAACCTGAATTCTCAAACGTTGCACCATATTTTCTTTTATATTTCATATTCATATTCTATATTTTTTAATTCTCATTTGCTAGAAGGAAATTTTAATGTGCTATACTAGACAATACTGTATGTTGAGTTTTGATATTCAATGTTATTCTCGGAATGATTCAAACAATACACATAACAGCCCTTGGGAAATTCTGCAGCCCCGTCGCCATTTCTAGAAATCTCACGCCGCTCCCTGACCGAGGCGCTGCGGCCTTTCCGCTGCTTACGGCCGCAGCGACCATCAAGATGTTCCTCCTCCTCCTCCTCCTCCTCCATCACCACAACCACCTGGCCAAGCACGCGTAGGGTTTCTAAACAAACACACACACATACGAATTCGGCCTGCCCGATTCCCGGAGATCAGTTAGTAGCGCAGTGAAGTGACTCCGGGCATTTACCGTCCGCAATAGTCCCCTCCTTTCTGGCCCAAGCGCAGGCAATTAAATCTTGATGCGCTTAAACCAAACATCCCTCCCGCCGACCAAGGAAGCGCCCCCTTTCCGACAAAGGCAGGAACACGCGAGACCGAGGCCCAGACGGCCTGCGGCAGCCCTTACCCGGCTCCAAAGTGCACAGAAGGCGAGGCGCAGTTCGAGATATGCAGCTCCTTTTCTTCAACACGTTACTCAGGATGGTACTCACGCTGCCATCTCCGCCGGTGTTTTGCCGCTTTAAACACCTTCCCCCTCGCCTCAGGGAACTTGTCAGTCTGTCTTGCCTCATGGATGACCACAAGCAGGAGCCAAACACACCATCCACTGGATTTCCAGTGCCAGCGGTCGCCCCAGCTTCCCGCAGGCCCAGCCGGCACTCGCGACTAGTGACGCAATCCGGACATTCGGCGTTTCTAATTCAGAAAGGCTCAGGCTCGGGCTCGGGCTCGGGCTCGGGGGGTGTGAGCCGACGTTTGAGGGCGGAGAGAATTAGAGCAGCTTTGAAGAGGCGGCGAAGGCGGCCAGTTAACTCCTAGCTGGAGGGACCTCTGCAATGCAGAGGAGAGGAAAGAAAAGCGAGTCGCGGCGCAACACGGCAAAGGAGAAAAAGGGATGTTCCCGCCCACCATCACAGCATCCCTGACAATAAAACCAGGCGGCTCTCGTTTCTCTGCTGCCATCTGCCAGCAAGCGGAGCTTGCGTTAAAAATAAACCTACTCGGCGTAAATTTTAACAGCAACGCGCCGATGGCAGAAAACGTAACCGGCCGTCTGAAGGGAACTCTCCCGGCTTGCTCTCCGGGGAATTAACCAATAAAAATTAATCAGAAAACTATAACCATGGCAATCGGAAAACAGTTCCTGCCATTTGCGCCTTGCTTTTACGTGGAGAAGCTGCACTCTTTAATAAAGACAAAAGGAGGGAAGGGGGAACGAACCGACTTGGATTTTAGACTGATATTTAATACCAATATCCAGAAAAAGGCTGAAGGATGCTCCTAGTTACAAGTCAAATCTTCAGAAAGGTAAAACAAAAATCACTCTGTGTATCCTTTTTCATTTATGCACTTAAGAATTTAGAAAATAGTGACATCTACAGTATTCCATCAAAATCTATTTACATTATTTTATGTAACACACTATCTGCTCAATTTGATATGCATTCTTCATGTAACTCCATTTATCAGTCTTTTTAAAAATATTTCTATAAACTGTATTCAGTATATTGGGTTTTTCAAACCCCCAATAGGCAATACAGTTCTCAAAATTGGTTCACAAAGATGAAACTATAACATACGTGTTATGATACAGTCCTTGTTTATGATAGATATTACCATAAACATAAAGATTCAAGATTGGATTTTTATGTATCAGATGCAGTAATTGATATATGATGACTTTTAGGTTTTCTACACTTCAGACGATGGTTTGAAATACACAAATAGGTTGCAATTTGCAACTTGATATAATAGGAATTATACCAGCAATATACATGATACAATAGTTACGTATGCCTCCTAGTTTTATATTAGATTACTTCCAAGTATGAAAACTTAGAAACCTTTTTTGGAAATAGCAAATAAACAAGTGGACAACCTATATCCACATATGTCTTCCTGGTTGTTTGGCTAAGTTTCAAACAATCCTCTAAAAGGATAATTTTGATATTTGGATCATACTTATTTCAGTTTCTGATTGTTTTAAAGAAACAGTTGAATGACAAGAAGATTAAAAAATGAATGGGTATCCCCAATGACCTCTGACTGTGGCCTGATCTTACTTGTTTCAGCCACTCAGCAAATGGCCCTCAACATAGTGTTCTTCTTAAAATATAGACTTCAGAAGAAAAAAACAGGATCACACATGATAGCGTGTATGCAATGAAGAAGCTTATAGAAGTTTTCCATATTGCTCCTACACAATATAGGAAATGATAGAGTATAGAGAAAATGTGAGCAATACTGTAGCATACAGTAGGAATTTAGCTTATATTTATAACTGCTGCAAAAGAAAATCTGAAATCACTTCTTTATAATCCTTTTTCTTTGAATTCTGCAATTTTCTATTTATTCGTGAAAGAGAAACCAGGAGATGGTGAGTTCTAATCCTGCCCTAGCCATGAAAGCCAGCTGGCTGACTTTGGACCAATCATTCTCTCTCAGCCCAGTCACAGGGTTGTTATTGTGGGGAAAATAGAAGGTATACAAGTGTAGCAATAAGTCTCTACCAGTAGACAGGTGCTTTCTGTGCCTTGTGTATTTGAGCAAGGAGTGTTTAATAAATTGTAACATAATTTATCATGCAATTAGTCTATATTTCTCAAAGACTTTCTATGACAACATTCAATATAACAGTTATTGTGGCTACCAAACATGACCATTCAAAGTTACAACGGCATTGAAAAAAGTGATTTACAACTGTCCTTGCACTTACAACTGTTACAGCATCCCCAGGGTCACTTGATCAAAATTCAGGCACTTGGTATCTAACATGTATTTATGATGGTTGCAGCATCCTGGGTCACCATTTGTGATCTTCCCAGTCAGCTTCCGATAAGCAAAGTCAATGAGGAGAGCTGGATTCCTTTAATAACCACATGATTCACTTAACAACTACAGGGATTTGCCTAACAACCATGGAAAAAGGTCATAAAATCGGGTACAACTCCCTTACTTAGCAATGAAAATTCTGTTCCAATTGTCATACATTAAAGACTACCTAGTTAGCTTTAACACATTTGCAGTATATATTATGTCCTATGATCCCATGTTGATTTTTTTCAGTCGCATAATTATGCTTAGCAGTTGATGGTCAACTGAATCAATCCCAGCAGCCCTGTCAAATGGAAAGATATATAATACCCAGATCTAACAAAAGAAGCAGTGCTGTAATATATCTACAAAAGATAAGTCTCCTAGGTAAAAACTCAAAACATTTTTCAATACAATATCAATTAACAGCAATAGTTCAAAGAGTTCAGCATAACTTTATCCTTGAATTAGTTAATATTACCAGACTTAGTATTAAGAAATTCACACATGTAAACTATTTGTAAACATAAGACAATTCCAAGAAGCCTTAAGGTAATGAAACAGCATTACCTTAAGACTATCCAGTGATAAAGACTACAGATTACATTATTATTGTACTAAAGCATTTTATTTAACAAGGTATGTTTATCTCCCAAATATCCCAAATTTTACAACTGAAAAAATAAGGTAAAACAAGAGAAACAACAAATTAGCTCAAATGCATTTAACTGCATTCAGTAAAATCTAAATCTTAAACTGAACCTAAACAAGGGGGTTCAGCATAATATCCCAATGTAAATTTTGCCCTTTAGTACTTCTATTCTGATATTGCATGCAAGTATATAAGAGGTAGTGTTTGTGTTGTGATGTTGTAGCCCATATGTCATCACTTTGAAGAAATTTTGGCTTGCTGGAGATGTTCCTGATACTTTTCATCATTTTTTTCTATTCTTGGTCAGTAAGGATAAAAACTGTGGGATCCTTAACCATGCACACGCTAAGCTCAAGGGACAGGGCACCAAGTAAAGGTATCTCTCTAGAACAGGCATGTCAAACTTGCGACGTCATGTGATATCGCGCAACGTATCGGGCCGGTTTTGCCATTGCCGGCAATGGGGTGGGCGTGGCTTCCACGTGATGCGTCCGGCCCGTGGGCCGGCAGTTTGACACCCCTGCTCTAGAAGATAAGTACTGGTGACAATAATAATTATCAAGCTGCATACCAGGGCAAGAAGGCAAGGCTATGGTGCATAAAATTCAGGGGACTTCAGGAAGAAGAGAGTTAAGATTTTCTACTGTTTGTCCTTTGGGTTCAGCCCTGCTGCTACATGTGGACTGACAGTCTGTCTCAGGTCACCAAGTTTGCTCCATGGCCAAATAAGGACTTGAACCTGGAGCTCCCCTCTCCCATTCCAATAATTAAATATTACAACACATGGGTCCACTACACCACACTGAGGAATAATGCCATCTTGCAGTGGTATTTAAAATAATGTTGAGGTGAGTTTAATTATTTTTTACCTGGTCGGCCTTGCAGGAAGCTATCTATTACTCCATGCAAAATCTCAAGGGCTTTGCAGCACTATCGGGGAACGGGACCCTGACCTTCCTCGTCCAGCTACAGCTGGTGTCAGGTTCCAAACGGTTCCCTATTTTACTTACCTTCCTTCTATCCCTCCATCTTTGGGACCTGCCATTCTGTTGGGGGAAGGGGGAGCCCAGCATTACTTGCATTATTTGCATGTTTGTATTTGTTCACCAGATCTGTTTCCCTTTCCTGATTGCCATGGGGAGGGGTATGATAGCTCTCCTAAGACGATCACGACGAGTCGGATGCCAGCAAAGCCAGTAAATTGTGTGCCAAGAGCAACGGCTGATCTCCCCGAGATACCAGCTAATTAGATACAATTCAAATCCCCGAGCGGCTTTGGTGGGAGGGGTTTTATGGCTTGGGTGACTATACAGTGTTAACGAACTTTTACCTCAGACCTCACCTTGATCCCCCACTATTACTGATCCCCAAATAAAAGAATCCTGTTCAAAGCAGTGATTGCCTCAAGAGTTCGAATTCTTGGGAGAACAGCTGAAGTGGGTCATTACAGAAGGCGAGGTCTGCATGACGCTCAACCCGGAGACGCAACTGCACTACCAGGTGAGCTGCAACTATTGCACGTACAGAGGAGTACCCATCGGAGCAATGGCCTGGAAACCTCCAACAATCGAAGGCTGAAGAAGGCCTCTCCAGGGAGATGGAAGTGGCTGGGCCGTTTGATGAAGGGGACCGAGCTAGATGGTCCCTTGGAGTCGGTAAATCTGAAGGTTGGGAGGAGAGAGATTCCAAAGTTACCCTGAACCGAGGGGGGAGAAAGAAGAAAGGGTCCAGCCCTGCCCCCTGAGACAGAAAGGGGGGGAAGGAGGAACCAAAATCAGAAATTATAGAGGCAGTAATGGAACACGTAAGGAGAGCCTTAGATGAATTCAAATTACAGCTGGAGGAGGACCAGAAATCTGAGGCAGAATCAGGGGGAGAAGAGTCGGAGGTTGAGGAATTGGCGACCAGAGAGGGAGGGGCAACGACAGCCCAGACCACAGCCTAGTACTCGGGGTGTCAAACTCAGGCAACTAGGGGGCGACTGCTTCAGCCAGTAGAAGCAAAACCGGTCCCAATTGGGGCAAAATTTGATGGGGACCCAAAGTGGCTGGGTTTCTTCCTTGCACAGGTGTTCACATATATGCAGATTTATGGGAGGATGTTACC